GCTAGTAGGTGGCGCTATCACTATATCTGAATATTGTCATGTAGACGTGTTCAGGGCGGGACTCTTATCAAACGTAAAATTTTGTTAAGATCGGATCATGTACAGTGAAGTTATGACAACTTTTTCATGAATCCTCAAAATTGGACGCCAGGCGACGGGCAAGCCGCTCGACGGAATGTCGTAAATAGCACAACTTTCAATCATGATTGTCTTTATATTGCGCTCATAAAATCTGAAGTTGGTCCGATAAATTCCCTAGGAGGAGTTCGCTCAAATACAATGTGTGCAAATCACGGAAAATGACCACGAAATTCAAAATGGCCGACTTCCTGTTGGGTTTGGGTTATGGGTCCAAGAGGCTTTTTTGCTTGTCCCATCATGATACACATGCAAACCAGTTTTCGTACATGTCGGTCATACGTGTCTTGGGGGCTGATTCTGGGGGGCGTCGGTGCACAGGGACAATTGCATACGTGAATTTTTGCCACAATTGAATTTTGTGCAAATTTCCATGACTTTTCAAGCATGTTGCGGCCGCCAAATATGCAGTCGAAGAGGCAGAAAAATAATAAAACCATTATCAAACCATATTATCAAAATTAGAGAACAGCAATGACTGTAGCACAGAGAAAGATTACAACAAAATTTTCTGAAGGTTACAACAGTCAACAATTAGTAGGAAGTGTACAGGCCGTTGCTTTGAATAACTTCAGCACCTCTCCGACCACAGGACATCACTAGTCTCTCACACTGCTTTGGTATGATTTTGGTCCACTCTTGTTCCAGTCTCTTCCACAGTTCAGTGACTGTAGTAGGTTTCTTGGCCATAACTTTGCCGCCAAAGATTTTGTATTTTTTTCTATTGGGTTTAGATCAGGATTTTGGGCTGGCCATTTCATTATTTCAATGTTTTCAGTTTCAAGCAAGTGCTTTACCCATTTTGCTGGCTGATTGGGTGATGAACGCAGGAAAGGAACCACATGTTGTTGAAGAGGGTTCTGATAGACATTTGTATTCACTCTGCC